TTTCAACTCCTTTTTACCTGTTTTCCCTCCTCATAGACAGACTGCTGCCGTCATATCCTCCTCCTCCTCTTCCTGTTTCTGCTTCTGCATCAACCAGCGTACTTTGATTGTGTTTTGCGCCAAAAACACGAGCATTTCTTTCAATCATGCGCATGTGCGCTTGATGCTTTTTTGATGAGCTTGCAAAAATGATCTTTTGAACGACGTCTGAGGAAAAGCTGGACATATTCGCAACGGCCACTAGTTCACCACTGATTCATATTTGGAGTGTATCGGACAAAATTCCAGTAGATTGGAAGAAATCCAGAACGATCCTGAAGCCTAGACAAACGTGATGAAAATTGGTCTGGGCTAGAGAGAATGCCGATCTTCACATCACATTTTCACTATCTCCGGATCCTTTAGTATCGCCACACTGGTACCAAAAACTCACGCGCTCAAGTAGCATTCAGTGAAGCCTTTTTGCCGTATCTTAGTTGACCCCTAATATTTCTACGGCTTTTTGGAAGAATTCCCCGCGGCAGTAGATTCTATCTAGAAGCAGGTTACACTGGATATTATACTCTATTAGGGTTACGTCTCGGCTGTGATGTTTGCAGTCGGGAAACATTGGAAGCTCCTTTATCCAAATACTTTTGATTCTAACCAGTAATAGTAAAAATTATCCTTGTAATTTATTCAAAGGCACTCGGAAGTAGCTCGGGCTGATAGCAGATATCAGTAGCAATTACACGCTGGCAACGCTATCGATAGCTTCTTCTTTCGAAAGTTGCTCATCACTGAGCTAACAGCAGTTTTGACTTTTGCAGTACCAATTTACCATCGAAATGAATTAATGAATCGTAGAGGGATTGACTGTCTCACTGGACGGATCGAACTCTCGACCTTCAGCATAAGAGCAGTGTTACTTTTCATTGCGTCATGGTCACCGGAAAAAAAATTTAGTGAAAAAAAAACTTAAAAAGTAGCTATTAAATTTATATCATTGAAATGTTATCAGTGAACCAGAACTGCAAATACCGTCCCGTAATTATATGTCCCACCGAGTACTAGTTGTCTGGGAAGAAATCAGGCTCCACCACTGCATTTTCGTTGTGAATCATATCTAACAATTCATAACAAATTGTGAAATGGAAAAGTGATTTGCGCGACTGTAGCAAAGAAAGGGTAGCGATTTCTTCGAGATTTGGCATATTTAGGTACTGAAAATCACTGGATAATAATTGAAATAATAATAAATTACCAAATAATAACACCGAATAATAACTGGAAATGACAGTCGAAGGGAAGAAAAACTGAAACAAGTGTGTATAATTACAGAAATAGAAAGGAAAGAAAGGGCCCTGGAGGTGCAACCAAAAGTAGTCATTCCAAGCTGGAATGTCGGGGTTGTGGTGGGTATGCGGTGGTAATTTGCAGACGTAGATAGGCCGAAAAATAACAAATAAAGTAGAGGACTGTAAAAACCGAAGGAAATTCCGCACAGCTGAATTTCAT